GGGCTTCATTTTGGGATTTGATATCCAATAGTCCCAGTCACAGCCTGGATTCACAAACAGAAGGTGAAATGAGCACTGGCTTTCCCTGCCAGGTGCTGCTGACACATTTACTTCCCACTTGTGATCCTTCAGAGGCCCACAGAAGGATTTTGGATCTTCCTGATGCCACATGCTCTTAAGTCAAGCTGATTGACCAGTTTCAGCCTCACAGCATGATGTCAAAAGGGCAGGTGAAGGCTGTGCCAAACATTTCTGGTCACACTTGGGTTATTTTCGTTAGGCTTTGAATTAAGGTCTGTGATTTTTACAATTTCTGACATCGAAGTGTGTTGCTTTTCCTGATAAATCAGCTCCGTTAAAACCACCAATATTAAAGGAATGTCCAGTATGTGCACATAGCCTTGTAAGGTACAGTGGACTGTAAAAGGCTTTCAAAGGTACTGTTGTTCCTAAGGAGATTTAAACAAGAATTTTCCATCAGCTCCTCCCAGAGCTCCCTGACCTTTTGCCTCTCTGTTACAGGGAGGTGACACCTCTGCTCTGTCCAGCTTGTGCTTCACAAGGTCCACGTCCTTCAGAGCCATGTTTTCTAAAGATTACCAAATTTGTTCACTCACCTGCACCAGCTTCTGCAGCTTCCCCTTCTGCCAGTGCTGTGGTTTGTACCCTTGCAGAAACTGGGTTTAGTTCAGGTTTTAATAACTCCACCTTCCTGCTGAAGGGTCTCAAATTCCTGTTCCTCCCAGAGCACTGAGCTTGTTCACAGGAACTCGAGCAACAAGGGCTAAACTAAAACCAATTTTCTTTTCTTCTGGGGGCAAAGCATCACTTGGGCTGTGTTCTGTCAGGTACCAAACACTGCAGAGATGCAGAAACGTGGTGTTTGTGGTTGTTTGTCTAAACCACCTAAAAACAGATTATGAACATAGAGACCTGTGCGGGAATGTCGGTGCAAGTGGAAAGATCTGTGTCATTTCAGGAACTTGTCACTTAATTTTTATTCCTTTTTGGTTTGTATTAAATGCCACTGCTTTCTTCTGGTTTAATCCCTTTTTGATCAAGTTGATAAAACAGGTGGTCTTGTATTCCAAGAGGAGAAGGGGTAGCAGAGATGTGCTTCTGGTGGGGGAAGAGCAAAGTCGTTGTCCCATAAGAACTGGCCGTGCCTTGTCTGGCTGTTCTAATAGATTCAGATCCAGCCTCTGCTCTCCCTCACCCTTTCTATTTATTTATTTTAACAAATTATGTTCTACAAACCGAACAGCTCCTGTTTCAAAGACAAAGCAAACTGACCTTGAGCCCTGTGTTGGCCATCTGGGTTGTTGGAAGTGCCCACGGGCGTGTTTGGATTTGGAGCTGGGAAGGTTAATGGATGCCCTTTCTGCGATGACTTTTATTCCTGTCTCCTCTTGTCCATGAGATGCTTGGTGTCTGTCCACTCCCAATAAATAGAGCCATATGTACATACACACACGTGTTCTTAGTCGGAGAGCGCAGCACTCGGCACCGGTGCCTCAGCCTGCCTTGGGATTATCCAGGGTTTTCCATGGGTACCTTGTGAGTGATGGCAGAAATCCAGGACTTGGTCACTGGCTTTAGTTGCTGTGAGTGTCTGCAGTACAGAGAAAAGTCATTGTGTAACTGCTTGTGAAATGATGCTGAGATTTAAGGCACGGGAGGATCCAGGAACTGTCTGCAGAGCAGGGGACGAGGTGCTATTTTATAGACCAGATTTATATGAAGAACCTCTGGGTAAAACTCAGCTCGGAGACGTGGTGCCTCGTCACAGACACCACACAGATGATTTTTTTTTTTTAAATGAGGCTGTTTCCTCGAACTGGGGAACGTCCAGTTTGAAGTTACAACTTTTTACAACGGTCGCTTTCTTCTTCAGTGATGTCGAACTTCACGTGGGAGGAGGGAGAGGATTCATTTGGAAGATTTCAGCTCACTGTGCTGGGAGGGACCAAACTCAAGGAAACCTCTGATCTATATACACAACTGCTGCATTTTTTATAAATATATGTAAATGTCCTATTGTAATATTTGATCCTGGAAATAAAACAAACTGTTTTCAGTAGCTTTTTTCAGGTCTTGGTTTTTCGGTTTTGGGGTTTATTTGTTGGTTTAGTTGTAACGAAAGTCTGTCCTTGCTTTACATGTGGAGTTCCAGAGTTTTTCCTTAGGGATAGTGGGGTAGAAGGATAAGGAACTGTTGACAACAAGTGCACTGCTTGCTTAGCCCAAGAAAACTTCAGCCCATTCTAGAGGGTACAAAATCTTGAAGTGAGACAAATTTTTGGGACCTTGATAGGAAAAACACCCTTATGAAAATGAATAAAAAGAGGCAGGGATAGGATTTTCCATCCTTCCAATTGGAAGAGCAGAGAAAATGGGGCTTTCTGCTCTGACCTGTCAGTGTCCTCCTGGTACAGGTGTTGTCAAGGCAGGGCCTCTGCTTTCTGCAGTTGTTGTGGGGCTTCTTGGGGTGTTCTGTTGTGGCCTCACGTGAAATGTCGGTGAGCAGAGGCCCTTCTGGACAAGGACTTGGCAGGTACATTGGGGGTAACAATAATTAAGAAATTAATTTTGGGTCATCCTCCTGTTCCTGACTGTAGGTAGGTCTCCACTGAAACAGTGACCTCAGCCACTGCCATGGTCTTGCCCTGTCTGAAGCTGGAGAACACCTTGATCTCTTCCTGCAGCTTAGGAAGAAAATATTTCCCATTCCTACTGGCGTGGAAATCTTTTTTCATTTGCAGGTCAAGGACCTACAGGGACACCTCAAACTCAAGATACTTCTTGGGTTTAATTAATTTATTTTTCCTTTCTGCAGGCTTCTTCTGATTTTTAACGGGACTGGTTTATCTGAAGTATTAATTCAGGTGACATGTGTGAGGGCACTGAAGCAAATCCTCTCCAGCAGCATCGTGTTGGTATCTCCTCAGTCAGTTCTAGCCACAGACTCCCTGCAGGGCTTGTCCAAGGGGATTTTGGAGGAGTCGTGGCTGACTTGTGGCAGAAATGGATTTGCAGATTCCACAGATAGATTTGCAGAGAGGAGCAGGAAGGACCACTGTGCTGAGCATCCTCTGGCCAGGACCGAGGTGGAGGCTGGTTTGGCACAGAGAGGTTTCATCTCAACGCTTCCAAGTCAGCTCAGCCTCTGGTTCTCCTTGAAGCCAAACCACACTTGAAACCCAACCTGTGCCATTTCCCCAGCCCCAGAGGAGTTTGGGCAAGGGGAGCAGGGAAGCAAAGAAGCTGTGAGAAGAAATCAGAGAAGGACCTTGCTGAGCTGGAATTGCTTTACGTGGGACCAGGTTTGGCTGTGCCATGAACTGGGTGGCCTGGCAGCAAATTCCTTGCCCATAAATTGCTGTGCTGGTGCTTTCACAACGAAGCTCTCGTGTGAGAAAGGCAGGGGCACAGCCCCTCACGTGCTGGGCTAAAATTAGCCTTTTATTATTATTATTATGGTTACTGTTCCGGGTACAAGGGGAAGAGCAGCAATCCCAGATTCTCCCCGACGCCGCCCCGGCGCTGCTGCGTGGCAGGAGGTTTCCTGTGGGAGGTGGTGGAGTGGATCATGTGTGGGGCAACGTGGGAAGCTCAGATCACCGTGACGTAGGAAAGGCACAAGATGAGGTTGCAACACATTTTCTTCCAGGAGCAAAGGAACACTTCCCCTCTTTCTAAGTAAGAAAAGAGAGGAAGGAGAAATTGGATTATTCTCGGCACTCTGCTGTCCTGCATGTTTTGCCTTTGCTGTTGTCTGCCTTATAGAGACCAATTTGTCTTATTTAGGAATAAAACAGAAATTTATGTGCTGCTGCAGACTCTGATTTTTCCTTTCAGAGGAGCTGTTGGATAATCTGCTCCTCTCATCTTATTTTTCCTAGAGGAACAGAATTGCTTGATGTGACCTGGCCTCACCCATTCATGTTTTCCCATGTGACTCTTGAGGGCTCCAACTCCACCTTCTATTTCTTCCTGTCTGGGAGCACAATTAGGGTGCTCCTCGACTCATTGATTTGAAAGCAGGAAAAGCCACTTTGAAACAAATCAGCAAAGGGGTGTGGGTCACCCTGGGTAGAGCAGGTTAGGGTATGGACCAGAAGGCAGCACTCCAGGTGCTTTTTTTACTTACAGCATCAGAGCAAGACTCTGTGCCTCAGGTCCTCATGAACACACAAGGAATAGGAGCCATCTCAAAACTCTTCTTGGAGAAGATTCTTCCTTCTGCCTGCACAGCCCCTGAGCTGTTCTTCTCTTTGCTTGTGCCACCTGCAACTCCTCTGCCAACAAAACTGCCCCATTTTTGCCATTTCTTGGTGCTACAGTTTCTCTGTCTCCTGTTCTCGGACACAAAGATCATCCACATTCTCCCAATCCTGTTCCTGTACTGTCAGACCTTTCCTGTGGGAGTAGCAGAGGAGTTTCCCTGTTGCACAGTAACTGCCAGCCATGGGCACCTCAGATGGGAAAAGGTGGTGTCTGAGGACTTGTAATAATTAAGATGTCCAGAAACCTTTGCCTCTCAATCTTGTCTCCAAGGCATGAGATATACTCAGCACCTCAGGAAAAGCTGAGCCACACCTGTGAGGAAGAAAAAGGTGGGAGTTAGGAACCAGCTGAGACATGAGAATGCTTATTTAGAAGCTTTTATTAAAATATTGGTGAGAGAGGGGAGTGTTCTCCTAACATAGTCACCCCAGGTCATTCCAGGAGCAACGGCTTCTCAGTGGCCGAGGCATTTAGTGCAGAAGTGGTAGAAGCCTTAAAATCTGAAATTGTGCCTGTTTTGATGAACTCTGGCAGCGAAAGGGGGAAGGACCGTGCAGAAGGATCCGGCACAGCGCCGGAGGATCTGGCTCATTCGGCCAGGACAGTCACCCTTTGAATGGAAGGATCATGACTGATGCATGGGCGGACCTTGGGTGGGAGGGGGAAGACAGGGAGCACACCCTGGGGCATCATAAATAGTCAGCTGGGGGGAGATGCCTCCAGCACAGAGCTCATCTGAGGGGTGGACGCTGCTGACGCCACGTGGCATCACTCCCAGGTAAGCCAGGAAGCAGGGAGGACAGGCTCCCTGGGCTTTGCTGGAATCCCTGTGCTTTTCCATGGAGATGTGCTGGCGGAAGGGTCGAGGCTTCTGAGGGTCCTGACGGAGACTGGGTCAGCTGGGCTTTGGCTTTGCCTCCCCTCATGCAGGGGTTTGTCTGTGCTGGCTGAGGGGGAAGCTGCTTCTTCAAGGGGAACGTTTTGAGGGGACAGCACACCATGGGGAGCTCCCTAGGGGAAAGAGGCCTCCTGCCGTCCCCAGGGAGAGGGCAGCTGTGGAGGGGAAGGAGAATCCTTGGAGAGGTTGAAGTTGCAGAAAACTCTGGCTGGTGAGAGCCTGGGCTGTGAGCTCAGAGGAGCAGGAGCTCCCCCGTGGTGGGGAGGTGGGACTCACCACTGGATACTCATGGACAACCACGCACGATCCCTGGACTGCAGGCAGGACCACACAGGGTGAGGGGCCCTAAATTCCGTATAACCAAGGCAGGGAGGATGGAAAACAGAGGAGAGGTGGAACTCCAGGATGGGGGGGAGCTGATGGTCCACTCAGGCATCTTGGCTTGTGTCACCCTCCACACAGGTCTCCCAGCCCCTTCCTCCATGCTCAGCCCCCCCGGCATCCTGCTGGGACTGGCGTGGCTGCTCCCCAGCCCCTCGGGCCGTGCTGGGCTGGATGTGCTGCCTGAGCTGCTCCTCCCCGGCCCACGAGGGGGCTGAGGCAGCTCTTCCCACGGGAACAACTAACAGCCACGTGGGGCAGTGGTGCCACAGCCACTTCTGCTTTGCAAAGCCAGAGCAAGCTTGAAAAAGATTATCCAGAGCCAGAAGCAGCTCAATCTGGGGAACTTGTGCAAAATGGGTCACAATCCACCAGGAAAGGGGAAAATGCATAAACCCAACCCGGAACAAAAAGAACACAGGGTAGAAGAAACCTGGGAGCCAGGACAGCACCAAACCAGGTTGTTTTCAGAGGTCCCAGAGTGACCAATGGGCATCCCTGTCTTGTAGGTGCAGAAGAGAAGTAATTTTGGACAAGGTATCACCTGGAGATGGGCAGGTGCTTTATAGGTGAACTCATAACTTAGTAAGATGTCAGTGGAGTTGGAGGGTAGAGGATAACATTTTCTTAATTAACTTTAATTAGTTTCAGCATACTCAGACTTACGGCAGGATTCATGTATGACAGGAGTGGAGTTGCTGTTGGATTTTTGATTGGAGACTGATGTGTCTTCACAAGTCCTTGTCCAAGGATTTCACCCCTTTCCTGGCTCACTGTAAACGCTGAAAGTCAAACTGAGCCGTGGTGGGTGGTTTGTCCCCTGCAGTAACATTATCACAGAATCACAGAATCACAAATGGTTTGGGTTGGAAGGGACCTTAAAGACCATCTCGTTCCAACCCTCCAGCTCTGGGCAGGGACACATTCTGGAGAAGCCAACCCTGAGGTTGCACAGGTCTCAAGGCTTGGTGTGGGACTCGCTGTTGTCTTAAACTCCATTGCCTGTTTGGCAAAGAAATATTAGGGTTTCCACTGGAAATTGCCCTCAAGTAGGGGCAGTGCCAGTGGGGTGGGTTGGAACCCAAACCCACCACCCAGTAACTCCTGCTCTCCCACAGCTGTGGGATGGGCTCAGGGTGGGGAAGCCGTGGGGCCCCACGAGGCTGAACGCAGCTCTTTCCTCCTCTTCCTCCCCGTTCCCATGCAGGACAGAGATGTGTGTGGGGAAGTGCAGCCGGATTGTGGGTCCCTGCCTGCTGGCCCTGGGCATGCTCTCCATGGCAGCCAGCATCCTCCTGCTCTTCCCTGGCGGAGCATCCAAGTACCTGTTGGAGGGGCACATCAGCAGACACGCCCTGGCCGTGCCGGGTGTCTGGGGAGGCGGCGTCCCCGTGAGTACTGTGGGTCACACCCGTCCCCCCTCACGGGCCTGTGGAGCAGGGACAGAGGGATGGAGCAGGGCAGGTGGCTTCTCTTTGTCCCCCAGCCTCATTTTCCTTCCCACAGGTGCTGCTGGCAGCGACCCACATCACAGCACTGGGGTGGCGATGTGCCGGCTGCTCCAACTGCGGCACCCGCTGGAATGTAAGGGACCCCTGTGCTAGAGCAGTGCCCAGCAGCGTGGGGTGGGATGTGGGGGGGGACTGGCAGGGTGCCAGCTCTGCCATGGCCCCACGGTGGGACATGGCATGGACCCCCTCTCCCCTCATCCCGTGGTGGGATGTGGTAGGTGGCCCCTCTCCTGTGGCAGGTCCTGGCAGGGTGTCCCTCTCCAATGGCCCTATGGAGCTTCATGGCACAGACCAGCCTTTCTCATGGTCCCATGGAGGGATGCTGCATGGTGGCCCCTTCCCAGAAGACAGGCTTTCCATGTGTGCTGGCATGGGCTCTGTCCCACCAGGTTCTGCATGGCAGACCCCTGCCTGTCCCTGCTCCTTGCCCATTTCCCTCCCTGCCTGTCCCTACTCCTTGCCCATTTCCATCCCTGCCTGTCTCCACTCCCTGCTTGCTTCTGCCCAGCTCAGCAATGGTTACAGCCACAGCTGCCCGGGACCGGAGCCCCTTGGGGTGAAGGGGAGGGGAGTTTTCCCCCCTGCCAAACACGCTGACAACCAGCAGCTGTGTTTTGGAGCCCACCTGACTCTCAGTGTCCCCTCTGCCTGCCCGGTGTTCCCCACAGGCCTTCATCTCCACCGTGCTCTCCAAGCTGGCGTTCCTGGGCGCTGCCGCCTGCTTCGTCCTCTCCGGGGTGGGTTTGACCAACGGCCCCCTCTGCTTCTACAATGCCTCTGAGCACAGCCTGGGGCACGGAGCCCTCTGGGGTTACCCCTTCCCGGATGCCACTGGCCAGGTGCCTGATGCCAGGTGAGGGGCTGAATCACCAGTGCTGCCTCACTGGCTTATTGCTAATTAAGTCAGTGTTAATTATGGTGTGGGGGGGTGGGTGCTTGCAAGACTGGTAGCTCGAGGGGTGCCCACCTTCCATGAATTCCTACATGGTGCTTTGCACCTCCACCACCCCCCTGACCCCACTCACCCTCGGGCTGAAGGACGGGATGTCTGGGACACCCTCTGTGGTGGAAAGCGATGGGATTCCTGACCTGCCACGGGCAGCATCCTGCATCTCCTCCCCTCCCCGTCACACAGGGCTAAGACCTACCTCTACGATCGGCACACCTGGAGCATCTGCCTGGAGCCAGAGGGCATCGTGGCCTGGAACGTCGTCCTCTTCTCCATCCTGCTGCTCGTCAGCGTGGCCGAGATGGTGCTGTCCTTCCTCCAGATCCTCAACGGCTGCCTCGGCTGCCTCTGTGGCCTCTGTGAGGGCAAGTAGGGCCGGGGGCAGTGCCAGGAGGCTGCACTCGGAGGAGGTGTCACCCCTGGTGTCACTTGGCTGGTGGCACATGCCGAACTGGAGGTATGGTAGGAACTGTGACACCGGCCCTTTGGGGTTGGAAAGCAGCCAGGTGAGGGATGGAGGTGAGGACTCGGCTCATGGCACCCCAGCATGAGCCCAGCGGCTTCCTCGGCTGCCTCCACCCACCCCAGTGCAAGATGTGACACGACGGTGTTTGCAGAGACAAGAGCAGGACACTAATTTAATTTTTCTTAATCAGTTCGTATTTAGGGCAGCTGGGCTGGTGTTTGTCACCTGCAGAGGGTGGGAGAGGGGAAGGAGACCAGAGGAGCAGAGCTGGGCTCTGGCTGGAGCACTTGGATAGAGTCCTGCTGGAGGAGGCAGGGCTGGAATTGAGGTGTAGCCCCCCAAAGTTCACCCCCACACAAATGTCAGAAGCAGCTGCTGCTCATCCCCAGGACCAGGACCCCACTGCTGTCCTTACAGGGGGGTCACTGGTTTCAGTGCATCTCCCACTCCCCTAAACCTTCACAGGGACCCAGTGTGGGCCTGAGCCTGCCCGTGCTGGGAGGGTGTTTGCCCCCCACTGACAAGGGCCAAGGAAAGCAGTGATGGTGGCAGCAGATTAAAAACACCAAAGCACTGAGCCAGATTAAACAGTAACTGGGCCATTGTGGTGGTTTAACCCCAGCTGGCACCTGAGCACCACACAGCCACTCCCTCACCCCCGTCCCATGGGATGGATGGGGAGAGAATCAGAGGGGTAAAAGTGAGAAGACTCATGGGTTGACATAAGAGCAGTTTAATAATTGAAATAATAATAATAAATTGTAACGTAAAGGAAAATAATAAAGAGATAGAAATAGAACCCAAGACAGACAAGTGATGCAACACAAACATCTCTTTATCGTCAGCCCAAATCCAAAACCCAGCCCCATCCCAGCTGTGATGAAGGAACTGAACTCTACTCCAGCCCAAACCCTCGCAGTGACTTCAGGGAGACCACTGAGAAAAAGCCTTTTCATGAAAAAGAAACTATTTAACGTTATATAACACGAAACATTTATATAACATATAAAACATTTATATAACATAACTATTTATAACAACGGGAGGGAAACTCCCGGAGCAGGGTGGTGGTACCAGATGTGGCACAGCTGGAGCACCGTGTCCCCCTGACCCAGCACACAGGGATGGCACAGGGTGCCCCCAGCTGCCTCCTTTTGGCATTGCTGTTGCCCCCCAGTATCTGTTTCATGAGGTGGCTCTTGCTGGAAAGGAGCCTGGGGCTGTGTGGGGCGCACAAGCCTCCCCACCAACAGATACATAATTAAAAAAATAACAATAAAAGTGAGATCAAATCCAGCCTGGGGATGGTAACACTGCTCTGTGTGATGTGGCCGTGCTGGACGGGGCGGGGTGGGACCCCAGGCTATGGGTTGATGTCCCGGGATCTGGCACTGGGGGGGTGGGGGGGGCTGGCCTGGGGGGTCACTAGGACACGGGGCAGCTCCTTCGGCCCCGCTTCCCGTGACGCCGGGGGCTGCGGCCCTGGCGGGGAGCAGTGGCTGTCACGAGGATGTTCTGGAGCACATCGTGCAGCGTGAACATGCTGAAGGAGATCTGCTCGTAGGGCGACCTCGTCCCGTTCTCGTAGAGGCAGGCGAAGGCGATGGCCGTGCCACCGGCCACCGGGGCCTCCGCGTAGGGCAGCTCCATGTAAGCCAGGTCTGAGTAAGCACTCGGGCCCTCGTAGATGACCCAGGGCTCTGTCCAGCTCTCTGCATCCCTGGGGAAGGTGCTCAGGTGAACCCCCATGTTGACCCGCGACATGGAGCTGGTGGGGTGGGAGTAGAGGATCCATGTCGGCGCTTGGAAGAAGGGAGTGGGGCTGGGGGTTGCTGCAGGGTCCCCCTGGGCCAAGGTGACACTGTGGGCTTGTTGGTGATGCCCTGGGGTAGGACAGTCCTCATCGGGCTCGTCTGGCTTGTGGTGGCTGCCGGTGGCCACAGTGGGCAGCTCATCACCTGCTACCTTCCGGGTGGGCAGGTACCGAAACCTCTGGAACATCCCGGGGAGCAGCCGTCGAGCTGAGCCCCGGAGGGGCAACACAGAGTCCTGGGAGATGGTGGGGACATACACAAATGGTGCTGGGAAGCCGATGACACTGCCATGACAGCCATGGGGGGGCTCGACCAGCCGCTGGACCAGCTGCCCCCTGTGGAAGACGGCCCCGTCATCCGTGCTGAGCGCCTGGACCCTGAAGCCCAGCGGGCTGCGGGCGTTGCAGTACAGGACGTTGGATCCATCCTCCTCATCCACCGAGACCAGCTGGCACTCGCCCGTCTGCAGGTTGGGGATGAACTCCCCGAAGCGCCAGCCGTGGCCGTGGTCGTCGCTGTAGAAGGCGAAGGAGTGGGGGGTGGTCTTGCAGAGCTGCCCGAAGCACTCCTTGCAGTCGATGTGGTAGCTGTAGGCGGGCACCAGCAGCCGGCCGGAGCGCAGCTGGATCCCGTGCCCAGGGCCCAGCGCGAACGTCGCCCAGTCTGCGGAGCGGAGATGGGATGCGGTGAAGGTGGAATGGGCAAACAGTGACCACCACGGTGCCCTTCCATGCCCAGTGTGGAAGGGTCTCCAGGGCTTCCCCTGCCCAGCCAAGCCAGGTGGTGGGGTGGGAGAGCAGCCTTGTGCTGCCCAGTTGTCCTCACACATGGTCCTACCCTTGGCTGTGGGGAGGTCTCCATCTTCTTCCTACCCCAAGCGATATAGATACGCCCTCCATCCCCTCTCCCCTCTGCTTAAGGTTCTCTTCCACCCTCTTGGAAGCCTGTGGGCTTCCTACTCCAAGGTCACCTCCAGCCACACCACAGGTGGCTCCAGGAGGCCAAAACCCACGGTCACCTCCTTGCTGGCCATCCTTCCCCCTCCCCAGCCCTCTCCAGCTGGGTACCTTTGATGGCTGCACCAATGACCTGCTGTGTCAGGTCCGTGGCTGTGCTCCAGCTCAGGCCCTGGTCGGCGCTGGTGACGCAGCAGAGGCGGGTGACGTTCTGGCCAGTGACAATCTGGTAGGCTTCGGGCGTCCTGCCCAGCACCGTGATGAAGAAGAGGAAGAGGGTGCCCGTGAATTCATCGTAGAGCGGGCAGGGGTTCATCGACCGGTGGTGCTGCAGCGTCGCCGTCTCCAGCACGCGCATGTCTTCCCACTGCCCAGGGAGGAGGAGGAGGAGGAGGAGAGAATGGAAAGGGACGAGACAGATGAGAAACATCCTACTTTTTCACCCAGAGAAACTCTGGCTGCCCTGTCCCTGGAAGTGTTCAAGGCCAGGTTGGATGGGGCTTGGAACAACCTGGTCTCTAGTGGAAGGTGTCCCTGCACAAGGTGGGGGGTAGAACGAGATGACCTTTGAGGTCCCTTCCAACCCAAACCATTCTGGGATTCCATGATTCACCTCACCCACCCAGCCTCCCCCCGCCATGCAGCCGCCTCCAGGAGCTCAGCCGTGCCACACACAAGCAGCGAGGACAACCACCCACCTGTCCCCACGCCCCCAGCCCCGCGTGTCCCCCCAGCCCGGGGTGTGCCCCTGTCCCACCTCCACGTAGCTGCCGTAGATGGTGCCGCGGCGCAGCACCAGCAGGTTGGCGTGGGCGTCGTCGGCGCTGAGCCGCTCCTCGGCGAACGCCAGCAGCTTGGCCACACAGGGCAGGTAGAGCAGGGCGGGCACGCGGTACGTGACGCCGTTGGATTCCCTCTCAAAGAGCACGGTCCGCGCAGGGAAGTGCCGGGAGCCCATGGGGTCTGCAGCAAAAGGATGCAGCCCCACCACAGCGGGTTGGTGAAGGCGGGGGATCGGCTGCTGGGCACGGCCAGGGGCACTGGGTTGTCCTTGGAAGGGTTGGGGATTGAACTTGGCGGGTTTGGGCTTGGGGAAGCCCCAGGGAGCAGGGGCAGGGCTGGGGTGGAGAGAGGCTGAACGTGCACTGCTCTGGTGGGGAGTCCCTGCGGCTCAAAGGTTGGCCACGACTTTGGGTACCAGCAAGGAGGCTGACCTGGGGACTCCAAAATAAAATTAAATAAAATTAAATTGATCTTCAAGATGCTCTTCTGGGAAATCAAGGCCAGTGAGCAAAGGAGCTCCCTGCTCCCTTCAAGTGGGCACTGGGAGGGCAGAGCCCACCTCTGCACACACAGGACCCCCAGATCAGCCCGGGTTCATCAAGAGGGGGTCAGGGAGTGTTTTGTCCTGTACCTCTGGTGCCTCCAGCACAATGGACCCAGTGGGCTCCTTGTTCCCCCCCCTCTGTGGGGGGAGCCTGGGGTGCACAACACAGACTGTGGGGTCCCTGGCCGGGCTGTCCCTGCAGCAGTGGGTGCGAGCTGTCCCCAAGTGCCCTTCCTTTGGGGACAGCAGGAGTGACACCACCATCAGCTGTTCCCAGGTTACATGTCTCTACGTGTCCCTGGGGATTATTACCACAGGAAGAGATGGGCAGCCCACTCCAGGCACAGCTGGAGCAGCCAAGACTGACTTTCACCAGCGGTTTAATCAGGAGCTCTTGCTGATCTAACCCCCCCAGAGAAAGCGAAGGCACTCACCGGGTCCTGCTCGGCTGGGCTGTCCCCTCTGTCCCTCGGCCCCAGCAGCTCCCGCCCTTGCTGGGTTTCTGCAGAGCCGTCTCCTCACCGCTTGGCTGCCACCCCTCTCCCCTTGCAGGGTCCCCCCACCGATGGGTCACGGGGCTCCCGCGGTGGTGGTGGCCAGGAAAAATCCCTGAGTCAGCAGTGGAGCTGCTGGTGCCGTGCCCGTGGCACAAAGGCACCGTTATGGGCCCGGGCACAGCCGGGGCCCCGTGGCTGCTGAGCCTCCTTCTTTGGACCCTCGGGGATGGAATGAGAGGGGAGCCATGATGGGGGAATTACATCTCCTGCCTCAGTTTCCCTCCTCCTGCAGGTTGGGAGGTGCTGCAGCCTACGTTCACCATGGTCCACCCTGCTGTGAGCTCCCCAGCCTGGGGGTTGTGGTCTGGAGGGTCCCAGCCCTCCCAGGACCCCCAACCTTCCCAGGACCCCCAACCTTCCCAGGATCCCCACCCTTCCCAGGATCCCCAGCTCTGCCAGGATCCCCAGCCTCCCCAGAACCCCCAGCCCCCACAGGATCACCAGCCTTCCCACGACCCCCACACTGCCCAGGACCCCCACCTGCACACAGGTCAGCTACTAAGAAACTATTTTTACACCTGTCTCTGTCATCAACTTAGCTTAAAGGGCTTGACAAAATTCACGGGGCAGGTCATGGATCGGAAGCTCCAAGGGGAAAACTGACGCAGAGGCTGCAGACCTGCCCCTGAGGGGCCCCTGGGATGGCCCGGGGTGACCACGTGTGGCTCTGGCTGCTCCACCCTGCTGGCACAAATGCCTCCTGAGCCTCGGGTTAAGAGGGTTCCTGGAGCAGGGAACCGTTGAAAATGCTGTTAATCTCTGTTGTTGCTGCTGGACACCTGTGCTGTGAGGAGCACAGGTTGCAGGGCAGGTTAACCCCTGCCTCAGCTGCTTCCCTGATGGATTTAAACAGAGTTGAAGAAAATCCTGGGTCTGCTTCCCACCCTGCTCCCCAGACAGCATCTCTCATACTTCCCAGCTGGAGCTGCTGCCCCACAGCTTCAGTGTTGCCCTGAGGCAACACTGCCAGCCAAGGAACCCCAGATCCATCCTCCCCATCCTGCCACCTGTGGCCCTGCTGCTGTGGCAGTGCCAGGAACGTTGGTCAAGGTGGCAGCACCAGCCCCGTGGATGTGGTGACTGCTCGTCACCAGTTCCCAACACACCCCTCGGTGCCAACAGTGCCAATAAACTTAGAAGCTGAGCTGGTGTCTCCTTCTTGCACCAGCAGGGGTGGCAGTGGGGACCTGGATGGCACCAGCGTGCCCAAAGCAGTGCCTCACTCCATCCCCTCCTAATCTGTGCCAGAGAGTTCAGCCAACGCAGCAAGGGGAGACCCAACAAACCCTATGCTGATAAAGGCCTTCAGGGATGCTGATCCCAAAGGACCTTCCCTGCCCACAGACTCTCACACAAGAGAGAGGGGCAAAGCCACAAAATGTCCTCCCAGAGGAGTACCAGGGTGTCCCACGTGGGGCAGAGGCTGCCACACCTCGTGACACAGGTGAAAGGAACATCTCACATGCCACGGAGAAAGGCAGCCAGTCAGCACGCCTGGCTTTGGGACAGATGCTTGGGACTCCCATCCCAAAGGCAGCCCCTGCAGTGCATGGTGGTTACTCCTCGTTGAGCGTGGATGCTGCTGGATGGGACATCCAACATGTCTCCCTCTCCTTTGAGAGCTGCATCCCCTTGTTGCGCTCTCCTTGTCTCCCTCCCTCTCCCCTAAACCCAAAAAATCAGGACTTGCTCCAGTGAGCTGTGACCAGACTGGATGTAGTGATGGATATCAAATGAAATTAAAGCAGGCAAATGATCACACCTGTAATTAATGATTAAGAAGCTGGAATGTCTATGTCAGCTGCAGCCTGCCCAGCACTCCCCAGCTGGGAGCAGGCAGGAAGGATCACACAGGATCTGACCAACACAGAGCCTTTGGCTCAAGGTCCCCAAAAAGGGACCAACCACCAACTCGGTGACCCTGAACAAAGCCCCCACTGCCTCCCCTCATGCACAAGAGTCCTGTCTTGTGTCAGTCAGTCACATGCCAGACATGGGGTGATGCGAAGCAGTGGGAAGCCACAGTGGGTTGTCATGTGTCCTAGTTGGTATTTGGGAGCTGCATCCTCTCCTGGGGACTGGTCCACGGCAATGGCAACCCCAGCTCCTTCCCCTTCTTGTGTGGGTGTTGGACAGTGTAAAGGTAGGTCGTGTACTGGAGCTCTGGAATGACCAGTTTCTGGCAGGTTCTCAGAGTCCTGTTGTCCAAGTTCTGTCTGAGGTTGTACCCCAGGATATTTGCAGCCCCTGACTGGTAAGGCTGGAAAGCTTTGTTCCGGATGTGATCCTTCCCCACTGGCTCCTGCTCCAAGAGACAGGTCTCCATGAGCTCCTTCTGTCTGGTTCGCAGGTGATCCACCTCCTTCTCCAGCACCTCCAGCCCTATGGTCTCCTCAATTCTCCTCCAGAAGCTCTGGTTGAAGTGCAGGTAGAGCTTCCAGTCCAGCGAGCACCACGCTTTTACCCGCTCCTCACTTTCCGGAGTCAAAGTCTGGACAGTGTCCTGACTTCTGGAATTGAGCTTGAAGTAAATCACATCATCCAGATCCCAGCACAAAGTGTGCTTCAAGAGGATCATGGACTCATCGAAGTAGTCTGCTATAAGGATGAGGTGGAAGTTCTGCTCGATCTCCTCGAGGATGCCCTGGGTGTACTCTGTGTCGTCCTCCGCGTTGTTGTCGTAGCCAAAGTCAAACCACATAATATTCCTGGCGTGGATGTTCTCCCTGTAATCTGCTGGGTGGTAATACCTCGTGGGTGATGCCAGGAACTCGTTCACGTCCTTGGAGCTCCTGAAGGCGGGGACATTGTTCTTGAAGTAGATGTAGGAAGACTCCATCAGAGGAATGGGGTTCCTCAGGATGGAGAAGTAGAAGGTGTTGGGTGCCATCACCTTTTGCACCTATTTGTGGGAGGAAGAAGAGGTTATTCCAGAGGCACTGCTGTCCCAGCCAGGTTTCTCCGCAGGTGCTGTGGCTCTTTCTTACCTCCGAGGGGTTAAACCGCAGGTGGTTGCACATGATGTTGTAGTTTTGGCCTATGACTTCAAAATCCTCCACAAAGTGGGCCCTGAAAATCCTCGGGTAGCCGAGGTGGAAGAGCTGGCCAGCGGGGAGGGCGACGGTGAGGTTGTACCTCTCTGCAAACCTGAACATGATGTTGAGCACGGTGCTGCTGGCTGTCTTGTGGGTCTTGAGGAACATGACGTTTGTCTTGGCATGGCACGGCGTGGGAGAGGTCAGCAGTGGCTGTTTGAGATTCTGCAGGAAGGCGACAGTTTGGTCCTCGTGGCTGTCGAAGATTCTGCAGGAAGGTGACAGATGGGGCAAGCGGCCTCTCCGGTGCTGCACCCCATCCCTGAGACCCTGCACAGCCAAACCCAGGGGCTCCTCTGACACCACACCTCCAGCTGGTGCAAGGCTGCACCCAAACCAGCCCCGTCCCTCCAGCGCAGATGTCAAGAGTTTTCTCTCTCTCCCGTTTCTCCCTTACCCAAAGGCTTCAGCTCAATCCCTTTTTCGTTCCCTACCCTGCTGATTTTGCCCTGAAGACCTGCATTTTGGCTAATTTGATTCCTTACCCACCCAAACATGGACCTAGCACTTATTTTGGGGACACTGTCCTTCCAGCCTAAGCCTCATGAGAGCTGAATCAGGTGTCACAGTTAGGTGGTGGCTGCCTGGGCACACAAAGCCTTGCCTCTGCTTCACTTACCCATAATCCTTATCCTTCCTATGGAAGAATCCTGACAGGAAGATGAGTCCCAGCAAAAGGCTGAAAATGATGAGACATCTGGTATGCCTGGAAAAAGAAGAAGAGTTTCAGTGGATTTTTATCCGATAGTCCTTCCCTGAACCACCAAACTTTGCGTCTTGCCCTTGGGAATTTTAATCCCTGGGAGCACAGTTTTAGGTCTCAGTGGTGGCAGCCGCCTTTGGCACCCCCAGCTGTGTCAGCAGCTCTGGTGTTAGAGACAAGACAGTGAGAAATTGCATTTTCACTATTATTCTCCTAATTTTGGCCTTTGGCAAGACACAGTGTGCTTCACGAAGAGCCTAAGCTTTTCCAACAGCCTTCCACTCTGCTATGCTGCCTTTTGTTTTGCTTTTGTTTTGCTTTTCTGGGGCTTTATTAGAGCTTATTCACTATTCAAACTCCCAGATTATTCACTAGAAAACGAGCCCTTTGTAGGGCTATAAAGACTTTCCTGGTGAGAAACCTGAGCAGCTCCTGTAATTGCATCACTCCAGAAGATGGGGAACACAAAGAAACACTAAATGGAGGGGGTTTTTTTCAATATAACAGAGATTTTTCAAGTCAGAAAATCAATTAATAACCAAACAAGGTTTGGTTTGTAATGATTAATTACACCCCACTTTGAAATGGAAGGGCTGGGTAACAACGAGGGGGAGAATGTTTTCCAGCACTAATTAGGCAACCACCATGTATCAAAGTGTCCTTGCCTGTGGCAGGGGCTTGGAATGAGTCCAGGGGGTCTTTAAGGTCCCTTCCAATCAAAACCATCCTGTGATACCACGATCATCACCAGTGTCCTGCTGGGACACAGAGAGGATCTTTTGAAGGTGTGATGCCCACCAAAAAGGGATTTTTCATCACTAAGCTTGATCTGACTTCTCTGATGTTTTAACTCATTGTGAATTCCATGTTTTCAGCCACCATTCCCAAAATGCACTAGATATGGTTTTAAGTTGTTTTGGGAAGATATAATCCCAATTTACAGCATGGTATGGTCGCACTCATGGTTCCCACTTTCCCAAGGGAGCAAGCAAGGCTCCAAACCTTTCTCCAAGAGCCCTTCCCAAAGCCAGAGAACACCCTCAGCCACAGCTGGTACCAACCTCTGACGGGAATTTACAGCACAGCTTCTGCAGGAATAGTTTCAAGACATTGCTGCAGGCAAGATTTCATCAGGATTTCCTCAGTTTTGGTCCCAGGTTTGTTGGGGGGCAGGAGTGGGACAATCCCCTATCCCTGGAGATGGGATGGGAGAAGGAAGGCAGAGGGGCCCACAGGCAGCAAGCAGGCTCACATCAGCCACATGCAGCCCCTGCCAATCTTCTTGGTCTTTCATTTAAACTGAAAGATGTTGCTGGTGCAATAGTTTTCCACCACCCTGCCTGCCTGGAGGTCCTTCCTGAGCTGGTCTGGCAATGTCCTCCTTTTGCAATGTCCTCCTTTTCTTATGTGCAATTAGTGCCATAATGGTCCATTTATTTGTTTGGGTGGTGTCCCCAGAATGGCAACTCTGACTGATGTCTTATGGGGCAAACAAATCGCACACACCCCAAATCATCCTGAAGGCAGGTCAGGCTCACGACATGCTCTAGAAGGACTAGCAGCCCCTCCTGCTGCAAGAAGACAGGCTCTGTAGACCGCTGTATCCAATCACCTTAAGGAATCTCATGATATTTTAATAATTATTTACTTAAATAAAGGATTACAAAGTGCCTTCCTGCCTTCAAATCTCCAGACATGTCCAGCACGGTGAGTTTATCTCCAACCTAACTGAATGCTCCCAGCAGACCTGTTTTGTCAGCCCAAAACCAAACAACAGCTGGATTCTGCATCTGGAGACACAGTGGGGATAAAGGTCCAAATTATCTAGGCCAAAACCACGGCGGTTTTAAGGAGCAAGAGTGACTGATTTCTGTGGCACGTGGTCCATGGAGGTGCCAGGATGCACAGAAATAACAGGCTTCTTGTCCCAGGGATGACAAATGATGCATTCTCATGGCACAGTGCTTGTTCCTCTGCCTGGGATGGAGGGATGGATGAATGGATGGAAAGATATCTGCCTTCCAGCTCAGGGAATGAGCAGGGAGTGGGGACATGGAGGGGACTCTGCTGCCCTCAGCCCAGCAAAGGCATGCAATGGAGGTGTCCAGGGGAAGGGCCAAGGGCAGGGATCGAGGTGATCCCCAGGGAGGAGTGTGGGAAAACAGAGACGGGGGGATGAGAGGAGGGGCTGCAGGTATGTGGGGTGCTGGTCAGTGCACTCGTGCAGCCAGGTCCTGACCACCACAGGGGGTCCTGTCCCCATCACCCCCTGGGCTTGGCCACCCACAGCTGCACTCACAGGGGCTGCCACTGGCTGCAGCATGACAGTCCCACACACCGAGTGGGAATAAACCTCTCACGGACCAAACTGATGGGACCTTTCCCTCCTCTTATGACAAATCTCCAACATTCCTGCAGACCTTGTTCTTGTAAACAAGTGAGCTCTTGAAATGATTCAGGGTTTTTACTGATAGAAACTGTGTAGGACCTTTACCCAGAGCATACACATCCTGTTTTAAACACAGTGCCACTGCTCTGCCAGGAAACAGCACAGGACCAGTGTGGGATTTGCTACCAGACCTTGCTTCCAGTGACAGGTGAGTAAGACATGACAACTCCTTGAAAGTCTGCAGAGAACAACGATTACATTTCAAGCTCCATATACTTCAGATACACCTCATGGAAGTTATGAGAATATCAAGATTTTGGACAACGCTCTCAGGCACATGATGTGATTTTTTTGGGTTATCCTCTGCAGGGCCAGTAGGTGGACTCGATGATCCCTGTGGGTTCCTTCCAGCTCAGGATATTCTATGATTCTGTGTCCTGCAAACCTGCACTGGGGTTTCACCCCCTGTTAGGCTCCCACCACCCTGGCACACCTCTGTGAGAGCCTTAAAGACTGTTCCCTCAGTGTCATACACCCCACCCTTTGTCACAACACTGCAAGTCTCTGACCTGAACAGAATCACGGAATCATTTAGGCTGGAAAAGACCTCCAAGATCTGGCAAAGCAAAGCTCAAGAGAGAAAGCCCCAACTCGAACACCGCGCTGAAGTTACCTAAGCGTCCGTGACAGGCAACCAGCCTGGGAGCCCTGGGAGGAAGCACCTGGGAGCTGACTGTCAAAATACACAATTCTTCTAAGAAGCCAAAAGACTTGCGGAGCACTCGGCAGGGCTGGCGCCGGTGGCTCCACTTGCCTTTCCAACCTGTGCTGTGCCATCTCCCAGCTGCGAAGAAAACATGGAAAACTGCCTCTCTTGGAGGTGCCGCTACGGATGCTTTAAGGCTTGGGGCAACCTCCTTGTTGCTTTGGCTTAAGCAGAAAATAACAGACCTCTGCGTCAACTTCACAAGGTTCTTTCAAATTAAAAGACCTGGAACACCGGAAAGAAATATTCGTGGCAAAATTAATCCCTTACACTGGAGCAGACTGGAACTAAGTCTATAGGTTATTAACAACTTCCAGGGATTACCTGAAGCAGAACTTCCCGCAGTTTTAATTCGGCACCCCGAGCACTCGGCTCCCTCTGCCCTTACCTTGGAGTGCACCCAGGGCTTTTCATGCTCCTTCGAGCTGGGAAATGTCTCATTTGCAAATCGAGTCCAGCACCTTTTTCATCTCCTCTGCCTCTTAGTGCCCACGTATCTATTTCTAGCATCCCCTCCTGGCTATAAATGGGTAGGTGAGGACACAGGGAGTGGCTAGGTGTTTCACAGAGTGGGTGGGAGTTAATTAATAAGCCATGGAAAGCGCTGGTGTGGCAGGACATCAACAGAGGTATAATAAGCTGCCCCAGGACACAGCATTTGCAACAGCTTTGCAGGGAAGGAAAGGTTTGGCAGGGACCCCTTAGTGGGGACCCCCCTCTCTCCTGGCTGCAGGTGTGGGGGGCTCACAGCAGGATCCAGGCAGGGTGCTGGTGGTGTGGGGCTGCTGGAGGGCACTGGTCCCTTTGTGACCCTGAATGTCACAGCACCTGCTGTGCCTTTCCTCTGCTTCTTGCACAGTGGGTTGGGACTGTAATTCCCTGCCAGACACATTCGGTAAAAGGAAATTAGGGACATCAGCAAAACAGGAATGGTTGCTCACTTACTGAAAATTCCTCTTAAAACATTCAGACTTCCCACTTTTTGGTAAAAATGGAATTATTGTAGCTGGAGGTTAATGGTTTAGAGACTTGGCTGTATCCAGGCCTTGGTGGGGGGAGAGTTCTTGCCCATAATTGAGCCTTATTTTATGGTTTGTTTGCAAAATTACTTCTTGGTGATAACTACCATTACAACCTGCATTATGCAGGAATTTAAAATTCCACCGAGGCTGCTGTACACCAGCACTAGACAAAGTGGGTTTGACAGTTGCAAATTGCCCTGGTGAGAGCAGGATTTGTCCTGCAGCTCTGGAAGTGGGGTCATCTCCCTCTTCCCTACGCAGAGATGAAGCCAATGCTCTCCTCATTTGGGCAAGAGTGTAGCCACATCTCCCAGCCTGGATCAGGGGGGATTAAGTTGTTGCTTTTTGTCTTTTATGGCCATGCCATGTTCCATGCATCTCCTGGTGCTCCCCTTTCCCTCCCCACCCACAGTGTCACCTTTCTAAACCTCGTATGCTGTGTCCCAACCTGCCCCACCAACAGCCAAGTCCTCAGAACTCCTTCACCTATGGTGCTCTGTCTTCAGAGTGCCCAAAAACGCAGCATTTCCTTTTAAATCACAGCTTCCCCAGGCCAGCCCCAACCCCAGTGCTTACCAAGATCAGAGATTAGCAAGGTGTAGGGTTGCTTTCCCTGAGTTTCTTGCTAGAACACGAGTCAATGTGCTCTTTTACAGAGAACTTCTAGGGTCACTCTTGGCACAGCACCCGTTGCTGCTGGCAAAGGGGGCACATTTCATGGACCTCTTTCTCCTGTTACGTTACACACGTCAGCTGTGCCGCTTCTCGCTCAGGAGCTGGTACAGCCCATGGATCACAAAAGCCCATTTTTTGCACTTTTACAATTGGTTCGTTGCTCTCTCCTGGGCTGTTGCACACGAATCATTAGGTTTGGTTATGCCAAAAAAACCCAAAACAATGCCAGGCAGGAATATTTGATTTCATGTGGGAGTGGGCTGCTCGGAGGCCAGGGCAGTGAAGGTCAGCCAGCTGATGCAGGATTAGTGAGCTGGGGCACTGGATTCACAGCTCCAGACTGGCTCTGCTCCATGTTGGGGGGCAGTCCCTGGGGGGGCTCAGCCCCGTGCAGCTGCTCGCTCTTACCCCCACAGTGGGATGGGGACAATCAGAGGGGTGAATGTGCAAAAATTCATGGGTTGTGATAAAGGGAAGCAAAGCTTCCTATTCCGGGAGAGCTGGGCTCCATCACGTGTAAAGGTGACTTGGGAATGCCCTCCTTCCTCCCTCTTCCCCAGCTTTTATTGCTGAGCATGGGTCCTACACGTGGGATATCCCGGTGGTCAGGCGGGGTCAGCCGTGGCCCCTCCCAGCTCCTTGCACACCCCAGCCCCTCACAGGGGGGCAGGGTGAGGAGCAGAAAAAACCTTCACACTGTGCAAGCACCACTCAGCAACAGGTACAACATCCCAGTGCTTCCATCACTGCTCTAAACAGAGCCCCAGACCAGCTACTGTGAAGAAAATATCCCAGCCAAAAACCAGTCCAGAGAGAGAGGCAAAAGCAGTACAGAGAGCCAAGTGCTTCCTCACTGTGCCAGAAGACCACTGCTCCAAAGTGTGGAGAGTCCACATCATCCTAACACTCCAGTCTGTCCCAGAAAAATACAGAATTTTGGACAAGAAGCCCCTGCCACAATGAGTCTTTGTAAAAATACACACACATGTACCCACCCTGTCTCTCCCCCCCGTACAACAGTGCACCACTATTTGAAAGCATCACTGAGAACATGGAACAGGAGAGTAATGCTGGTGTTTAAGGTCTAGGAAAGCTCCTGTAAAATTACCCTACAATAACTCCTCCCTTCTATTCCCTCAGGGAACTGCTCTATGGTTTAGTGAAACAGTAAAACTTACATGGAGCTTTAGGATCTTCATGTGTAAGGAAGATGGTTAAGTGGAGCTGTGCCAGAACTTCCCTGGCCACAGCACTGGGTTGTGTGTCAGCCTTGACTCCCTCCCGAGCACTCTCTCCATGTGTAGCTGAAAAGCAGGAGTATGGAAAGTTCTGCTTCCCAAAAAGAGCCTTTCACGTGGAAAGCCTGTATTTTAAACAGTGATGGTCAGTAGTTCGGGGGAAAAAAGAGAAAGAATGGTGTAGGAAAAAGGCAGAGAATATAAACAGTCTGATTTGGAAAGAATGAGCTGCATCAGCTTATCCTAGCAGAAAGCAAATCCTGCATATTTTTCCCTCAAAAACATCGCAGACTTTTCATATTTTTGCATCACCCCACATGCAAGCAGCACAGGCTGTGTTCCATGGGCTGTCTCCTCCTTCACAGAACCACAGGATTCTAGAATCATTTAGGCTGGAAAAGACCTCCAAGATCATCGAATCCAACCTGTGCCTGATGCCCACCTTGTCAACCAGACCTGAGCACTGAGTGCTCATTCCTTGTCATTCCTTGGACACCTCCAGGCATGGGGACTCCACCACCTCCCTGGGCAACCCCTTCTGATGTCTAACTCTTTTTGTGGAGAAATTCTTCCTTTTTGCTAATGATGGCATTTTTCACTCTGCTTCGCCCAAGAAGAGGTCGATCAGCTCCTCTCTAACTCATCCTGAGGAATGGAGAGGTGGAGAGTGTCCCATAGCAGAGAAAAAGAGTTGAAGGGACAAGATGGGAGGGCAGGACACGGAGGTATTCCTGTCAAAAGCATCCATGTGGCCAAGCTGAGAGAGGTGTGATCTTAGAATTGTATCGGGAAGGGTGTTTGCAACACGGTGCTGAGCATAAGCCAGCATCCTTAATGCAATCCAACAGCTCCCAGCATTGTAGAGACTGTGTTCTGGGCTAAAACAGAAGAAAACTGACTCCCCAGGATGATTCCTCTCCCAAGGAAAAGGCTCTGGATGGAACTTTTATGTCACTGCTCTGCAAAGGAGCCAAAATCACTGAAAAGCAGCTAGCAGAGAATACAGCTACTGTGTCCTACCCTCATGGCATCCAGCAAGGCTTCCCAAACCAGTACATGGGAGTAAAAACCACCAATGAGCACCCTTTGAGCACAGCCAGCTTCTGACCTGTCCCACAGCCCAGGCAGCTGCTCTGTGCCTTGTCAGCTTGTCCAGGAGAATCACAGAGTCATAGGATGGTTTGAGTTGGAAGCTCGCCTCGTTCTGACCCCCTGCCATGGGCAAGGGAACACCTTCCATTGGACCAGGCCGCTCAAACCCCTGCCCACCCTGGACAAGACTATGGGAAAGAGCATCAAAGGCTTTGCTGACACCCACGTGTAGGGCTTTCCCCATGTGTAGGGGCAGCTAGACAGACACCACTGTCCACCTGGACAATAAAAGAAGAAGAAGAAAATACTAAAGCAAAAGTATTCTGGTCCTAAGCTAGCCAGAGCTAAGATTAGTGTGTGTGAAAAGAATCACAAGGTCAAGCTGGAAGGCCCCTTGAGGCATAATTGTTCTTTGTGAATGAAAGCAGTCACGTGGGCATGTGTGGGGATAAGAAACATCTGGCTTGCCTTGATGTCCTCTATATACATGGGGTAAAAAAATGTATATATGGGGTAATAAAGTTATGAGGTAGAGCTGCCTGGACAACATCTGTCTCTGCTTGGATTCATTAGATGCACCCATGTTGACAGAAAGTGTCATTTTGTTGTAGAAGGTGGTCAGGTTATTTACCTTTGGCAAATCCCTAGGCTCTTCCCAATCATCACCTTCGTTTGGACACAACAGAGCCTGGGTTAAGAGTGACAGGTGTTGGTAAGTGCGGATATGACAAGCAAGCACCAAGCAGACCAGATGACTCACTGCCATCTGCAGCGGAAGGGTGACAATGTGGTTTTGTACAACAAACCATAAATTACCATCTCTTCTGTTATTTCAAAACAGACTGTAGCAAACAAAACCAAAACTCCAAACCAACAAAACCCACCACGTTAGAATAGAACAGTCCAGCTGGAAGGGACCTACGACAATCATCTGATCCACTGCCTGACCAGTTCAGGGCTATCCTAAAGTTACAGCATTGTCCAGATGCCTCTGGAACACTGACAGTCTGGGGGCATCAACCACCTCTCCAGGAATCTTGTTGCAGTATTTGATTATTTGCTCTGTAATGTCCAGTCTGAACCTCCCCTGGCACAGCTTTGAGCCGTTCCCATCAGATCAGCACCTCCCTCTCCACGTCCCCTCCTCAGGAGGCTGCAGAGAGTGATGAGGTCGCCCCTCAGCCTCCTTCTCTCCAAACCAGACAAACCCAGAGCCCTCAGCCTCCTCCCAGGACACGTCTTCCAGCCCTGGCACCAGCATGGTTGTCCTTCTCTGGACACATTCAAGTACCTTCACATCATCTTTGATGATGGGGCCCACCCTGGCACACAGGGCTCCAGGTGAGGCCACACTAGTGCTGAGCACAGTGGGACCATCCCTTCTCCTGCCCTGCTGGCTGTGCCATGTGAGATGCCCCCAGGATGCCTTTTGCCCTCCTGGCTACCACTGGTTCCTACTGAGCTGCTGCCAACCAAGATCCCCACATCCTTTCTGCAGGGCTGCTTCCCAGCTGTTCCTTTCCCAGTTTATACTTGTGCTCAGCGTCACTTGGTCTTGGGCACAAAATTTGGCACTTGGACTTGTTAAATTTCATGCCACTGACAACTATCCGATGGTCCATCTATCCAGATCCCTCTGCAAGGCCTGTTGTTCCTCCAGAAACTGCAGAACTCCCATCTTGGAATCCCAGGATACTTTGGATTGGAAGGAACTTAAAGCTTATCTTGTTCCATCACCCTGCCATGGGCAGGGACACCTTCCATTAGACCAGGCTGCTCCAAGCCCCATCCTTTTGGATTATCCCTCTGGGTGATTATAATGTCACTGTTGTTATCTCTATCCAGCCTGGTTGGGAAGGTTAATTTTACATCTCTCTGTGAGAGCAAATCATGACTTGCTGTCAAGGACAGATTGGAAGTCAAGGAAGCAGGAAATACTGGCACGCCTACAGCCTGCCCCAGCCAGACAGATGTCCTGGGGTCCCCTCCCTCAGCCTGGCTGCTGGCATTTCCCCTCCAGTTGATAAACCCCAGAAGCTGGGTCTCCAGGCACCCTCACTTCTCTGACCAGTCTTTCCACGACTGCAAACCTGTATGTGGGACAACACTGATGCCTATTTGGGACAGCCTGGAGTTGGCATCACTAAAGAGGCCATAACCTGATGCTGTTGTGGGCTTTGGGATAAGTGTATTACATAAAACAAGCTAGGAAGAGCAACATCTTCACTTGGAAGATTTGCATCCACAGGTTCTGCTGTGTCTCTGATGCTTCACTTGCACACCCCAAGTGAGAAAATGCCTCCTCTGGTTGGTGTCACAGAAAAATCAGAGCGAATGCAGAGAGCTGGGATACCCAGACACAGTACCTGCATGTTTGGTTTCAGTGTTCAGATCAAACAGGAAGCACGGTGGTGTGTTCTTCAGCAAGAGCAGGCACCCCTGAAAAGAGCAACCATGATCCTTTACTTGTTCCACCCCAATAAAGAAATCAAACACGGAGCACTCCACGTGCCTACTGATGCACCAGTGTGTTTATGGCTGAAGTGCAGGTACTGGGCCACCCTCCGCTGGCCCCTCAGCGCGTGCTGCTCTCGGGAGCCGAGGGCAGCGTCTTGTAGGGGTTGAGGATCCCTTTGGGGTCCAGCATGGCTTTGAAGCGCTGCATGAGCGCCACTGCCTCGCTGGGTTTGCTGTACTGAATGAACTGCTTCTTCTTGAAGCCCAGCCCGTGCTCCGCGCTGATGCTCCCACTGCACCTCGCAGTCCACTCGTACACGAAGGGCTCGATGGCATCCAGCAGGGAATGGCTGTAGGACTCCGCCGTGATGTTCAAGTGCAAGTTCCCGTCTCCTGGAAGAGAACGTCGCAGAGGTGGGTCTGGAAGAAAAACTTGGTGGCCCTGCAATGGATACTCATTCCTGGCTCCTCCACATACTCAAACAATGGGGCCTCTGTTAGTCTGCAAACTGTACAAAAAGGACAAGCTCACTGTCCCACAAAACGTCAGCCTCTCTGTGCACGAGTAATTCAAACTGGATCTTTGTTTTTCCGTGCTTCCAGTGCAATATTTGAGTTATGCTACTTTCAAACTCCGACTTTTGTGATTTTAAAATTCCCACTGTGCTGCATCAATTATTGTGCCACCACTGTGATGCCGTGTCAAAGACTTCCCCGAGAGCATTTCAAAATGATCACTAGATTTTAACATGGCCCTTCATCACTTTTTCTCTCCCTATTATGTTTGTGCAGTGCCCTAAATGCGCTTTGGCACTGTGTCAACAGAAACAAAGAAAGCAGAACAGTTTCTCCTTTTGCCACTGTTTGATGGTATTTGATTAAGCACAGAGCTGCTGGGTACTCTGAAGATAAAACACACAAAGATAAACAAAACTTACTCATCCTCCTCCCTCCAGATCCTCTTCCTGCAACCCAGCAAACCCTCACTGCACACAGCTTAATCCTCAATACCAAGCACTACCACAGGGAGCCTTTGTTATGCAACCTGTCTTTCAAATCATCCCTAATCAAGTGTGCTCAAGAGTGTTCCTTATTTTTTTGTACAACAGAACAGCTCTGCTCAGCGACCAATTTACCTGCTTGTAAAATCAGATTAGTTTCCCAGCATGATGACAAATGTATCAGCCTTTCTCTGCAGTATCTTTATACTCTCTGTTGGAAGGTTAATGGCTCACAAACAATTCATTTCCAGTAGGACTAATCACTTCAGACAAAAAAGAGTTTACCTGCCAAATATGTCTAAGCACATTAACCAAACTGATGGTCCAATTGAACAAGTTAAATATTTAAATAGAAAGTACAGAGAAAGAAGATATAAATGACCAGGTCCCTGGCTGGCAGGCCAGCAACCTGCCATTAATGTAAGGAATACAGTCTGAAAGCAATGAAATTCAAACACAAGGATCCTGATGCACCCTCCTCTTCTGACAGCCCTCAGTTTACGCCTCTCACTAATCTAGAACACTACTCTAAACCCAAACTTTAACACTAGGAAGCTGCACAGCTAAGCCCGGAGCACAGAAGGGCAATCACCTCCTTTCCCAGCATCCCCACGTACCCAAGTGGCCGTAGCCCACCACGCTTTTGGCACTCTGGCCCAGCCGAGCCCTCATGTCAGTCACGAGGTCATAGAGCTTTCCCACAGGCAGAGAGATGTCGTACTTGTACACGTAACCCTCGTGAGTGAGGGCCTCTGTGATCCTCTCCCGCAGGCTCCACAGCGCCTGAGCAACCAAAGATCACAGAGATACCAATAAACCAAGTGGCTCTTGGGTTCCCTGCTTATACCAAACATCAGTCTGAACATTTCCCCGTGAAAAATACAAATCCAGCCTGAAGAGATTTGTGGAAGAGGAAACACTGACTTGCCTTTATTTTCTTATCGTCCGTTGCCACAGTTCCATCGGTGACCAAACCAGAAGCCGTGGCCTGTTCTAGGAAATTGTTCAATTTTTCTTCATCGTGGGTTGAGTTGGAGCCCGAAGTTTCAATTAGAACATAAAAAGGGCTGCCTGAAAGTGAGGGAGACCAGAGTAAGCAGATGCTCCAGGATAAAACACAGGAATTTAGGGCAGGTTTTGGAGCTTCTCCCAAGCTTGGCA